CCCCAAAACCCCAAAACCCCAAAACCCCAAAACCCCTTACACATCATAAAATTTGAAATTCCACAACCAAAATAGCTTACTCCCAAAAACCAACTCTGACACCTATTCTAAAAAGCACCCATACTAGGCTTACTTCCAAATCAGGTTTAGTACTCTAACTATGCTACTGGTCATGTATCCAAGTTTCTTTACTACAAAATCCCTCTATCTCCACTAAAATTCCAAAATTGTTCCCAAAAGTTCTATTATTACACTACAGGGGGAAGTCTTCACCTGGATTTATAGAAGGGATTTTGATCGGCTGTGACTGGGTTATGGGGCAGAGCTTACTGGTGGGGAGAATACACGGGTGTGTGGGATGGGTTTTTGGGTAAAGGGATTGGAGGAATTGCTCTTTGGGGTGGGACTGAGGTTGGAGAAGGAGCGGGTGAGAGGGGAGATGAGGGGGTGGGGGAGACGGGTGGTGAGCTTGGATTTGGGGTTGAAGAGAGTGGGGATTTGGGGGGAGAGAGGTAGCTGAGAGGGTTAGAAGGGAGGTACGGTGGGTATTGGCAGGTTTTGGGCCTCTATTTTGGTAGCGACGCTGTTGTGGAGTTTGTGGTAATTTGAACGGGAATGGAAAGTTGATTTTGATCGAGTCATTAGGCATAGGGATCTGTTAGTACTCTGGGTCTGACGATCTCTAAGGATTAAAGACAACCCTCACTTGCTAATGTTAATCTTTTGGTTGATAATCTCATCAAATTTCATCTAAAATATTGTACTTAACCTACTTTCTCTAGATTTTTGAAATGATTCCTGGGGATTCTAACGATTTGTTTCAACTTTCTGACCTCTTCTTTAAGCTTATCCTCCCTTGCATGAAGACCTAGACTACTGACAAAGCTCAACTTACTTGCTGAAATTCATTCTCGAACTTTTAACTCTTCAGAGAATATTCTCAAAGAATCCTCGAATTTGGAAATTAGCTGTTGCTTTTCTTTTACAAAGTCAATGGTGATTTCCTCTAGAGATAAACATTGAGTATACCATAGAGTTTGCGGTGTCTAATTTTCAGCATCTAAAACATCAGAGATCCTTATTAAGTACCTATTTTTCTCCGATGGAGATCTTTGATAGTCCCTAAAGAGCTATAGAATGAAAATACTCTCAAGATCAGAATTTATCACTTTAAGCTTATCGTTCTCATCATGGAGCTCCTCACTGTTGTTTTCATATTCACTGGAGATGAACCAAGGAGCTTACACCACTTGGGTCTCTAATAGCTTTATTCTCTGCCTCAAAGCATGATTCGCTTCTTTGTAGTAGTGGACAATAGAGTTATTCGCAATGAGAAATTGGTCTTCAAAGTTAAGGTTCAGGTACGAAGAGTATAAGCTAGAGGTTATGTAATGGAGTACCTAAATTCCTTCATAGTTAAAGGATCTCATTCCTGTGAGTCATCTACATATTAAGGCCAATTTTACTAGGAGGGTTTATCCTTTTCACTGAGATAAAACTCATGTTGTTGTACTGTTCTCTCCGAAACCAGGCCATTATAGACCGAGATTGAAGAAGTTCTTCCTCTTGATGGTATAAGAAATTTCGTAGATATTCAAGCTTTTTCTCACTTTTGTAGAGTTTATTACTAACTTCTTCAAATTGTGACAAGCTAGAGGTAATCTAAGAAGCGTACGTACAGGCTACTCATTTCTTCATTGAATTTCTTTTCTCATTTTAACATGACTTCTTGTAAGAATTCTTTGGCCTTTAGTTCAGCTGTGAGTTTGAGATTGGCCAACTCCTGTTCATGTGCTATCCTTGTTCTTTGAAGCTACAAGATGAGGAAAAGAATACTTGTTGGGTTAGGAACTGACTGTCAACTTCGTCTTTCAAACTTCTATTTCAAACTTACAACTACTACCTTCTATTTATTCTGTTGAATCTTCAGGATATGATCTAGAACTGCTCTTTTAAAATGATCTTGCTCTTGGTCAAAGTCCATTGTCCCCTTGAGCTTATTCAAATTATTTTATCTCCGATTTTATATCATGTGATAATCCTGTTCTCATTTCTTGCATGGCTCTGGTTGCAAAATTAGGGAACAACTTCATAAAATCTATATTTACCCCTGAAGATTACCAGTGTAGCTATTGAGATTACCAAACATTGCAGGTATTTCATTCTGACTCCCGTCATGATTTGTAATTTCTAATCTTAGTCAAGGAAGTTTTTACCATCCCAATACTCGTTGTCAACAGAGTCTGTAGAAGATGAAGAAGAGCATCTTGAGTCTAAATATTCCGTCACAGTCTATCTAACAATCTTACTTTTCTTGTTTTTCTTTGTTCCAGTTCACGATCCTCTAAACTTTAGCTATTGAAATTACAATTGGCTCTGAAAAGTATTACTCTCTGAGATATCTGACTTGACCTTCTTATTTTTCAACAGTTGGTATCTTGAAATTATTAGTAATCATTACTTGTTGGTGTCACCTTTTCTGAGAGCCTTCATCATTGCGATATTGCGTCTCTCAAGCTCTACTTCAGAATCCATATCTGAGTTATAGTCAGTAAATTTGTTATTTGGAGGATTCTCATTTTCTCTATAAAACACAGGAGGTTGGATTAACTCATTTTGGGAATTTGAATTCAAAATAGATTGATGATTTACCTTTTTGAAACAAAAGTTTGAGAAGTCTGGAAGGCTCCTTGCCTTCTTCTTCCTATTAGGATTGGATATCTAAACGTACTCACTAAACTAAGATTTGGAGCCTCTGGTTTTGTGCTCATTGCAGGAGCCTGATAATTTGGAGTGATCTGGGATTTATCATTCTATAAAACTCATATTCCAGCAAATAATTTAGAAATCAAGTTTCTGAAGCAACTTAATTTAAGAATTACATAGCATGTTTAGTTTTACAGTTGAAAATACCTACCAGCCCTATAACTTGTCCTGGAAATCCTCTGGGTAAATTTCTTCTGGATCGAATGCTTTGAATTTTGCACCATATCTAAAACGGATTTTTGAGTCCATCTTATCCAATTCTAAGTTAATTATTCCATTTAAAAAAATATAATGGGGTTTTGGGGTTTTGGGGTTTTGGGG